ACCAGAAGGGAAGAAAGCAGTCGGATGCAAGTGGATATTCTCAATTAAATACAATGCTGATGGAAGTATAAATAGGTACAAAACCCGGTTAGTTGCGAAAGGATTTACACAGTCATATGGAGTAGATTATGAAGAGACATTCGCTCCCGTAGCTAAACTTAATTCTATCCGAGTCATATTGTCTTTGGCCGCAAATCTAGATTGGCCACTACACCAACTAGTCATAAAGAATGCATTTCTAAACAGGGAGTTAGAAGAGGAGGTATATATGCAAATACCTCCAGGACTTGAATCACCCAGCACCTCAAATATGGTTTGCAAGCTCCATAAATCCCTATGTGGCCTCAAACAATCACCAAGGGCATGGTTTGACAGATTGACCAAAGTTGTCAAGCAAGATGGTTTTGTTCAATGCCAAACAAATCATATTATGTTTTTCAAGCACTCAGTGGATGGTAAGATAGTTCTATTTATTGTCTATGTTGATGACATTGTTATTACAGGGGATGGTTATTATAAAATAACACAATTAAAGCGTTTACTAGCCAAGGAATTTGAAATTTGTGTTTCTCAAAGTAAGTATACTCTAGACTTACTTCAAGAAACCGGGATGCTTGGATGTAAAGATGCGAACACTCCCATGGAACCAGTAAAAAGAAGTGAAGAGGAGAGTGCACCAGCGGATAAAGAGAGATATCAAAGTCTAGTTGGGAAATTAATATATCTTACTCATAACCAGGCCAGACATTGGTTTGCGACTAAGTATGGCTAGTCGGTACATGTCAAACCCAACTGAGACTAACATGATTACAATTAGTAGAATTCTTCAATACCTTAAAGGTACACCAGGTCGAGGACTTTATTTTCAGAAGAACTCAAACAAAGACATTGAAGTTTATACTGATTCTGATTGGACAGGGTGTTTATCTGACAGAAAATCCACTACAGGTTATTGTACATTTGTATGGGGTAACATGGTAACTTGGAGAAGCAAGAAGCAATCTATGGTGGCTAGGAGTAGTGCAGAAGCTGAATTCAGAGCTATGGTACAAGGTATTTGTGAAGGAATTTGGCTAAAGCGGATGATGAAATTAGAATTCCCACTGACAGGGTGTTTATCTGACAGAAAATCCACTATAGGTTATTGTACATTTGTATGGGGTAACATGGTAACTTGGAGAAGCAAGAAGTAATATGTGGTGGCTAGGAGTAGTGCAGAAGCTGAATTCAGAGCTATGGCACAAGGTATTTGTGAAGGAATTTGGCTAAAGCGGATGATGAAATTAGAATTCTCACTGACTACACAATGAGGATATTATGTGACAACAAGGCTGCTATAAGCATTGCGAAAAATCCAATCCATCATGATAGAACAAAGCACATGGAAATTGATAGACATTTCATAAAGGAGAAAATCAATCATGAAATTATAAGAATTGTTCATGTTCCATCACATCAGCGGACAACAAACATTCTTACCAAAGCTCTTCCAAAGATCATATATGAGAATATCAGATTCAATCTGGATATGATAGATATCTACCACCTAAATTGACAGGGAGTGTTGAAGATTAGTATAAAATCTGTTGTGCAAATTCTGTTTTGTATATATCATAACTGCAGTTTTATGTAAATTAATTAGCTGTCTGTTTTGTTTTTATCACATTTAATCTTAGTATTTATAAGAATAATTATTCCCTTAATTTCTAGGCTAAATTAGCTCATCCATCTCCGCCTATGTACTATATATACATCTTATGTATTATCAACCAAATATAAAATATACAAACATATTTCTATAGTATGGAAGTAGCGCTTAGGTTTGTAAGGAAGGCTCTCTACGGGTAGGTGAGAATTTTTGAAAAGAAAGATAGTTTGAAAGGGGATAAAGACTGTTTGGTGCATTTTCTGGTACCTTTTCTAATAGCAATTGGAAGTTCTAGGTTTGGGTCATCATTTTATCTTGTAATTCAGAAGAATTACTTATCTCATTTGAAGTAGTCGAATCAGACTCTTGAACTTGTGTCGATTCAGGAATGGCCTTTGACTTTCTCATGTAAACCAAATTCTTTCCATATCTTACATCCACTTCAGGTCCAAGTTCAGCTACTGGTGTATTTGATTGATTTGACTCAACTCCTAGTTCTTCAACCTCAGATGGGTCTGGTACAAGTGTGTTTAACTCAAACCAGAAAGATTGGGTCTATTTGACTCAAAACGGGAAAAATTCGGTGGATTTGACTCGAGACCAGAGAGATTGAGTGTATTTGAGTCATGACCAAATGTATTTGACTTAATACTAGACAGATTGAGTGTATTTGACTCAAGACCAGAAAGATCGAGACTTTCAAGCTTATCTTTCTTAAAATTCTCTCCCTGAAGATAAGGTTGAGTGAAGTACGGTTCCTCCTTGTGAAAGGTAACATCCCGCGACACAAAAAACTTTTTAGATGGAGGATGGAAACACTTGTATTCCTTTTGAGTAGAGGAATACCCGACAAAAACACATCTTAGGGAGGATTGAGTTTTTTTCTATCTTGACTATGCACATGGACAAATGAGACACACCCAAAGATTCTAGGTTTAAGATTACTACATACTGGCAAATTTGGATAGAAGGAGGAAAGAATATCCACAGGACTCTTGAACCCTAATACTCTAGAGGGAAATCGATTAATAAGATATGTGCTAGTGAGAACATCCTCCCCCCATAAATATTTTGGAACATTTTGATGAAACAACAGTGCTCGGGTTTGGTTTAATAGATGCCCATTTTTTCTTTCTACGATTGTATTTTGTTGTGGTGTTTTAACACAAGAAGACTCATGGACAATTCCCTCTTTTTGACAAAAAGAAGTAAGAACATGATTGAAGTACTCTTTTCCATTATCAGACCTAAGCCTTTTGATGTTTACTCCAAATTGATTTTTAATCATGTAGAAAATTTTTGGGAAAACAATACCGACATCATACTTGTTTTGGAGTAAAAACACCCAAGTAACCCGGGTACAATCGTCTATAAAAGTAACAAACCACCTAGCACCTGTTACATTTGGATTGGTAGAGGGATCCCAAACATCTGAATGAATAAGATAGAAGGGGGAAATACTTCTTTTGTTGTTTAATGGAAAACATAAACGCTCATGTTTAGCAAACTCGCACACATCACAATGAAGACTTTCAATATCTATCTTATTGGATAAAGATGGAAACAATACTTTAATGACTCCAAAAGAAGGATGACCTAATCGACAATGAAAAAGAAAGATTTTTTTTCTTTTTAGAGAGTACTGACTCTGACATAAATGAGTGGGACAAGTGGACTTTTGTACACTGATCTGGTTTTTCAAGATAGTAAAGGCCATTCCTTTCTCTAGCATGTCCAATCGTCTTTCCTGACTCTTTATCCTGAAATATACAACAATCATTATGAAAAGTCACACTACATGATAAATCGTTTGTAAGTTTTTGTATGGAGACAAGGTTCATGGATAGTTTTGGAACATGGAGGACCCTTTTCAGGGCTATAGAATGATTTATTTGGATATCTCCAATGCCCGCTACAGTTACAAGAGTATCATCTGCAGTAGAAATCTTTTTATTACTAGGACAAGGGGAATATGTGGAGAATTGTTTCGAAGAGGGTGTCATGTGGTCTGTGGCTCCTGAATCTAATATCCAAAATAAACAAGAAGGTGTTTCTGAGACATGAAAATCAAATGAGAATGAAAACTTACCAAAATACGCAACACTGCAATTACCTGGTGACTTTTCCATACTATTGGTCATGAAGGAAATATAAGCAACAACCAAATATTTATGCATAAGATATCAAAGATAACAAAATTCGATGAAGAAATCAATCCTGAAAATATAGGGATAGCGGCTGGTACTGTGCAGGAAGCGGCTGAAATAGCGGCTGGAACTGTGCAGACAGTGGCTGAAAAATGTGCAGAGCGGTACCGACGGCTGCAGGAAATTATACGGAACTGTACGGATAACTGCTGGAAAAGTATAGATAGCGTTTAATTGGAAAAAAAAACTTGACAGCAAGTGTTGCCCAATCAAGATTTAAGTGTCCTGACAGCATAAAATGCTAGTCAGATTTCTAAATAATGATTAGCGGAAGTAGAGTCCTCTAGATTAGGAGCTCTGAAACCATGTGAAAAATAGGAATAAGAAATTTTCTGAATGTGCTTGAGTGAAACCATGATATTTATACACACTATATAATAATTACATATTATGTTTACAAGGAGAAATAAATAATAGTCCAACTCCTTAAATGTATGAATCTAAATATACATGAACCTAAGACTTAAATGCTCATTTTATGGGAAACATACGATGTATTTTTTCTATTTCCAACAATAACTATAAGCGTAACTCGTAAGAAAGATCTTGAGATTAACAAATTAGATAGAAACATGATCTTTGATAGAAAATTATGACGTAATTTGATCCATGTAGCCGACCACATTTAGAGGGATAATGCTTGGTAGTTGTTGTAATATTTATCCGTACAGTGTCAATAGTTTAAGGGTGTAAACTATAATTTACCATTGTTTTATTCCCCTCTAGCCTCCAAACTTATGATGTTTATATATGTGAAACTGTTACAAATTAATTATCCTTTTAGCCTAAAGTTTTATTAGTGTTTAATACTGTAAATTTCCAAAGCAAATCAATTATTTTGACAATAGTTGATGAAATTCGTTTGGTGGTTGTTGTAATATTTATCCGTACAGTGTCAATAGTTTAAGGGTGTAAACTATAATTTACCATTGTTTTATTCCCCTCTAGCCTCCAAACTTATGATGTTTATATATGTGAAACTGTTACAAATTAATTATCCTTTTAGCCTAAAGTTTTATTAGTGTATAATACTGTAAATTTCCAAAGCAAATCAATTATTTTGACAATAGTTGATGAAATTCGTTTGTTGTATTAAAGTGTTGGATTTTGTAATGCTTACTTATCATAAACTATCGTTTTTGCAGTGTTGAAAAGGGACAAGCCGAACACGTTGAGGCTGATTCTTTCAAAAGGGAGTTTCTAGACACAAATAAATGTTATATTCTGGATTGTGGGTTGGAAATGTTTGTCTGGATGGGAAGAAACACCTCTCTTGATGACAGAAAAAGTGCAAGTGGAGTTGCTGATGTAATACCTACTTTCCCTTGCATCCTTTAGCATTTGGCTTTAAGTTTAAATTAGCTTTCCAATACCTTTTCAAAAAAGTTTTATTTATACTTCATGTTCTAACTACTGGTAATTTGCTGTGGACCAAATAACAGGAGTTAGTAAGTGGCATAGATCAACTTAAACCCCAAATAATTCGAGTAATTGAAGGATTTGAAACAGTGTTGTTTAAGTCCAAGTTTGATTCTTGGCCTCAGACCCCTGATGTAACTGTATCTGAAGACGGACGTGGCAAGGTAGCAGGCAAGTGATTGATATTGTGGCTTTTATCATAACATGAATAGATTTTTGAACATTACATTTTTGTATAGCCATTATGTCAACTAAATTTTTTCTCTTATTCGCAACTTTGTATTTTGTAGCACTTCTGAAACGTCAAGGAGTAAATGTCAAGGGTCTGTTGAAGGCTGATGCAGTAAAAGAAGAACCTCAACCTCACATTGATTGCACTGGACATTTGCAGGTATTCCGCTAGTTGCAATTCATCTATCAAGACCAATATTTCTTGATGCAATTCGGTTTCACTTTTGTCATTTTTCTTATTGGTTTTATATCCCGCTTAATTGATTTCTTCTGATTAGAAAATCATTTAGAACCCTTTTTGATCTCCTGCTATCTCCCATCCTGATGACGGCGACCTGAGTGAGAAGCAGAATACGTAGTCTTGTAGTACATCTTAGGTGTTTTCTATCATAAAGTTGACGACTAGAGTTTGATCCTTGTCAATTCCAATCTTCTAAACATAAAATTTGAATTTTAGCACAAGATAAAAAAAAACTTGATAACTAGTATTCCTTGATAATTCAGAAGATAGTCTTTATTTGGGTGGAGTTGTTGTGGTATTGGGTTGTTCAATCTCGACCTTTCTCTTTTATTTATGTAGTTAACAGCAGTCTTACTCTAACTATATACAGGTTTGGCGCGTGAACGGTCAGGAAAAGATTCTTCTCCCAGCTTCTGATCAGTCAAAATTTTATAGTGGAGATTGCTTCATCTTTCAATATTTATATCCTGGAGAAGATAAGGACGATTGTCTTATTGGAACGTGGATAGGAAAGAGCAGTGTTGAGGTGAAAGATTTTGAGTTCAATTTTACTTCTAGTCAGATGTGTCTTGAATATTAAAATAAATAATCTGAAAGCAAAATGTTCAGCTGTAGCTGAAAATATTAGTAGTTGTAGTAAACTGTTAGTCCTTTTAAGTTTTGGTTGTGAATTCATAAATAGGTTCATATAGTTTGAAAACTATGATTGGGTCCTTATTATTTAGTCAATTTTTTTTTCCAGATTGAGTCATCATAAGGACATATCGATATACTGGACTCAGGAGTCCTATCAAAATAGTTTTTAAACTCTAGGAACCATTCCATTAGAGATGTAAACTTAAAATTTTGCGAGAGTTGGTGTTGACTGTGACCTATTAAAAAATAATCCCAAATGTATAAAAAATTAGAGATATTTTTAACGTTAGCCAATTGTATGCTTATATATTGCACTATACTCGGCACTAGTAACTTCTCTGAGGCCAGAAAGTGTCAAATAAATGCATGGCAGATTATATTTCAGTCTTCTCATAAATTTGTGTTCGGAGCACTGTTAATCTATTGCCTGTATTGCTCACAAGATTTCAATTGAAAATAGGAAGAAAGAGCTTCAGCTAATTCACTGGCTAGTAAAATGGTTGAATCAATGAAGTTTCTGGCTTCCCAGGTATATTTCAGGAAATTGTGTCTTTGGCCTTCTGTTTAAATATTATTTATGCTTATTTCTTATCTCTTTACTGATAGTAATATGCATTTTTAATTGACTGCAGGCTCGTATATACGAAGGCAATGAACCAATTCAATTTCATTCTATCCTACAAACCTTCATTGTTTTTAAGGTTTGTATGGTCCTAATATTGTGGAAGCTCACACCCCATCTATTACTGGCCATGTAACTTTTTCCTATTCATTTTAATCAGGGTGGGCTTGGTGATGCATACAAGACTTACATTGCAGAAAAGGAAATTCCAGATGAGACATACAGTGAGGATGGTGTTGCACTATTCCGCATCCAGGGCTCTGGACCAGATAATATGCAAGCTATACAAGTTGAACCTGTATGCCCCAATTCCTTTTTGTAGTGATCATTTGTCTATCCACTTGTGTTGTATTGGGCAACACCTTTCTGAATTTACAGACTGTTTATGTAATCGATTTTTATTTTCATGGGGGTCACCAGGTTGCTTCTTCCTTGAATTCCTCTTATTGCTACATACTTCATAATGGGCCTGCTGTCTTTACTTGGTCTGGAAGTAATACAAGTGCAGAAGACCAGGAACTTGTAGAGAGGATGCTGGATTTGATAAAGGTTTGATCTGTGTTTAAGATATAGCAATTTATTTTAATGGGTCTAAGCAAATACCAAGAAGTTAGCTTTTGTCTTGAGGTCAAATGATTGTGTTGGACAAGCAGATCGACGTGGGTGATGTTTTATATACTTTCATGGTTAAAATGGTTAAATATACGGTTATTATATTTTTTATCATAGCTAAGCACACTAGGATTGCCTCTGTTGTCATAGGGGTTTTAGGTTTGATGCTATTCAGTGGCATGTCTGACAGTCCCTATTACTCAGCCAGCAAATTACATTGATATGACAAGAAGAAAACAGTAATAATATAAGTTGATCCATTGATGCAAAATTAATGTGTAGGAAGACATCGATTCAAGTTTTTAAACCGTCAAATGTCCAAAGAGATTGCTATCCAGTATATTGTTATATTTGTTTAGTCAGGCTTCTCCATCTATCTATTTTTCACATGCTTGCCAAATTTCTGCAGCCAAATTTACAATCAAAACCACAAAGGGAAGGTACAGAATCTGAACAGTTTTGGGATTTGTTGGGAGGAAAATCAGAATATCCCAGTCAAAAGACTAGTAGGGAGGCTGAGAGTGATCCTCACCTATTTTGTTGCAACTTCTCAAAAGGTAAGGGATGATTTTCTTGTTTCCTGGATATTTACATACCCCCCTTCCCCTATGAAGGCATGCAGCTGACTTTCTTGTGATGGTTTTCTTCTGCCACCCAATTGAACAACGAGCAGGAAACTTAAAGGTGAGTTCACCCACTAATCTATCATATCTGGTAACAATATTCTTAATTTTGAAACTTATGGAAATGCAACCGTATAATGAAGGTGTGTTAAAGTAGGTCTTGTATCTTGGCTTTCAACAATATTTTATTTGTAGTATGTTAAGTTGCTTGTCATAAAGAAAGATTTAACAATGTGATATATTTTAAGCACTATTGACATGTGATAAATAAGATTGAAACAGCAGCGGGGTTGCTCAATCTGATACTGTTAGTAAAAAAATGATGTAATATATTTTAAGCACTAGTGGTATGTGATAAATAAGATCAAACATCAGAGCAGCAGGCTATCTTTGCTCCAAACCCTAAGCCACCTGGAAATTCCTTCCCAGCTACCTCTTATCCCATACCTCATCCCCCTAGTATTAGGTGTTCATCAAGTTATTTATAATGATATTCCGCATGTGATTACATAAGATTACTCAATAGTTTCTTTTTTAAAAATTACTGAAATTGACAGCAGATGTTATTCAAAATTAAACTTATGGTTAATCTTGTAACACATAAGATCAAAATAAGATAACCTGATTACATATTATCTAACATGTGGATACACGATTATTCACTGAGAGGTGGTGATGTCCACCATAGCTTCTTTTGAAGACTTACTTTCGGTGAAAAATGCAGACAGATAAGTCTGACCAATGAGCTGGGGATACCTCAGTTTACTAAGGGAACTTTTACAAAATTTTTAGGGTGAATTTACTCAGTCATGTGTGCTGCACTGCTTTTAGCAATGTGAATACTTGGATTCATTTCTGTTTCAATGCATTAATCTGGAGCAATTCTCCCAGGTAACAGAGATATACAACTTCTCCCAGGATGATTTAATGACAGAAGACATTTTCATCTTGGATTGTTACTCGGATATATTTGTCTGGGTTGGCCAGGAGGTTGACACCAAGAGTAGAATGCAGGCGCTAACAATTGGTGAGGTAAAACTGGTTTTGCTACCAGCATAATTTAGTGGCTACTCTTTCAAAGACTCTGATATCTTCAGTTAATTTAATGCTTATTTGAGTCCTCTAACATCCCTGGGTTATTACAAAACAATGGGATTTATAATAATCATTTTCATGTTTTTTACCTTTTGAATTTAACATCTATTAGGTTCTAGGTTTGGCTGTGGATTTGTTAACTCACTATTGTAAATTGAACAGAAATTTCTTGAGCACGACTTTCTGCTGGAAAAAATATCTCGGGTGGCTCCAATATATGTTGTCATGGAAGGGAGTGAGCCACCGTTTTTCACTCGCTTTTTTAATTGGGAGTCGGCAAAATCTGCAGTAAGTTTATTAACAATTTAACATAATGGCATAATCATGTGACATTTTAACATCCTGATATTGACAATTCCTTTTTAACCTTGCAGATGTTGGGGAACTCATTTCAAAGGAAGCTTAAAATCGTTAAAAATGGGGGTACTGCACCAGTGGCGGTAAGGCATTTCATTTTCTTACAATCACTATTGAAATGATCCCTTTGCATATTTAAATAGGCTAAGTGTGGCAACAGTGTTGTAATGAAGGCCTTGAAAATCTTAGATTGAAAATGATTTATTTCGTGGAAATAAATACTTTTCTACAATTAAATATTGATTAATCTTATTTTGTCTGTCCAAACCTTCGATATCAATGTCAGACCCAAGTTTTGAAAATCTGTGGCAATTGACTAGAAGTTATTCTAGCGAATACAAAATTTGTATAACTATTGGATCTATAGATGAGCGATTGTTTGCTGACGATCCTTCATATAGAACCGATATAATTCCATCTTTTAATTTTCTCTGCTTTTCATCTTTAGATATATTTTCTTTGCATTTGCATTTAATCTGTTTTGTTGTTTGAAATGCCTTTGTATACTTTATCAGAAACCCAAACGGCGAACAACTTCACACGGAGGAAGGTCTAGTAGTGTGCCTGATAAATCCCAGCGTTCCTCCCGTAGCATGTCTGTTAGTCCTGACCGGGTTCGTGTGAGGGGCAGGTCTCCAGCCTTTAATGCACTAGCAGCTACTTTCGAGAGCGCCAATGCTAGGAACCTTTCAACTCCACCTCCAGTGATTAGAAAGCTGTATCCAAAATCTACGACACCAGATTCTGCAATACTAGCATCAAAATCTAAAGCCATAGCTGCTCTTACTTCTAGTTTTGAACAACCACCTTCTGCACGTGAAAGCATGATACCCCGTGCAGTTAAAGGTAAACATTTCGCTCACCAACTCCCTTCCCTCTCGCCTCCCTCTTTCAAGAATCACTTTTGCTTTGTATAATATAATTCACTTTGTCGCAACGTGCTTTCTGTTCTGGGTTGTTACGATGTGAAGTGAGTCCAGTCACCCCTAAATCAAACCCTGAGAAAAATGATAAGGAGAATTCTGTGAGCGGCAGAGTGGAATCTCTTACCATAGAGGAAGATGTGAAAGAAGGTGAAGCTGAAGACGAGGAAGGTCTCCTGATTTACCCATATGAACGCCTTAAAATAACATCTATAGATCCTGTGCCGGACATCGATGTAACTAAAAGAGAGGTAAAGTGGACTATAGTTTAGCTATCATATCTACTTCCTTTTCATATTTTTGTTCTTTTTCCCGGGGGCATTCTTTTGAAATGCAGCTTATAATTAGGCTACTGTTCATTTAATGTTGATTTGTTTGAACTTGATGCAAGCAGACTTATCTATCATCTGCCGAGTTCAAAGAGAAATTTGGGATGTCCAAGGACGCTTTTTACAAGTTGCCCAAATGGAAGCAAAACAAACTCAAAATGGCTATTCAGTTATTCTGATTCTTTAACTTATCCTTCTGTCAGCTCCCGGCAGTTTAGGTTCAGGTAGAAGAAACTTTTATCTTAAAAGTTAATATTATTCTTCCTTGACCATTTCATATCTATTTTATTTCTAGTAGCCCGTTTTAAAAGCAGGGAGATTCTCTATTTTGCAGTAAGGAACTGAACACGTGGAAGTGAAAGGGACAGCATCAGTATTTTTTTAGCATAACTGCGACTGCTCCCGGGAAACTTTTCATCAAGAGAAACTAGAGATTTTCCACTTCTCTCTTCTCTTTTCAGTGGTTTGTTCAGTGGTTTGAATGTTTAGGATGTCTTTGTTGAGTTAGCCGCGTGGCATTATATTTAAAGGGCAAAGGTTGTTTGTGAGCTTGGCTTTTGAAAAAAAAAAAAAGAAAAATTCTTTTGGGTTTTATTTAATTTAATTTTTTAATTTATTTTAAAATTGTTTTGGTCAAGCAATTGGGGTTGCAAATGCGGTCTAGGTTGTAATTTATACTAAGGACAAAGTGTGTATAGTAGAGTGTAAAAGCCAGTCAGATCAATATTTATTTGTTTTGGAAATAAAGTGTGGTTCTTTGTTCTCTGCCATTTTCGAGCACATTGAAAGGAGCAAAAGAGTCGACCAGAAACTCTGCTGTGTCCTTGTAAAACATTTAAGACCACACATGTTTTCAGTGATATATTTCTGGATGACACATTTTATATCCTAGTGTTTATTTTGTCCTTAAAGATGTGAGCAATCTTAAGTGATGTTGTGGGGATGGCGTTAAGTTAAGAGCTGTCAAAATAGAGGCTACTTGGTCTTAAACGGGTCGTTTCTAATGGATCTGGATTTTTTATGGTTGGGTCAAAAAGTCCTATTGTAATATGGACTTCAAAATTATTACCCGGATCCGACTTTAGATGGGTTTCGGGTTATCCGACCTTAAATGAGTTTTTTTAATAAAAAAATTAAAATAAAAAATTATATTATTTTGAACATAATACATTTTTAAATATTATATTATCTTTTATAAAATAATATAATGTGTTTTTAAATACAATATCTTCTGGATTGGGTCTGCTCTTGGTCCAACTACCAGTGAGGTCCAATCCAAGTATGTCAACCTGCTGCGCTGAACGGTATTTTTTCTGAGAACATCTGATCACAGATGTCTTGTCGATCAAGACTGCTTTTCGTCGGTGCTCGCAGAGATCATCTCCGACGAGCACGCGCTCCTCCCGAACACCTTTCTCGTAGGACTGACTTTCAACCTCTTTGGATTTCGCGGAGTCTTCATGGTCTCGGAAAGATCGCGTCCTTATCCTCCCGGTCTTGCGGAGGACGTCATTCAGGTAGGAGACTACGTGCAAGTCTCCACTACACACGTAGAACCTGACAATCTGTTTGTTGGGCCTGTTTGATCAGCCCAATAAAGAGACCTTGATCCAGCGCTATGGGTTATAAATATCTTCTCTTTCGAGAGGATCAGGTATTCAACTCATATTTCAGAACTCATACTTGCTTGCTCATTCCGCTTTTTACTTTGCCATTAGAGTGTCTTGCAGGTACTCCCATCTCATTCAACTTCTGTCCGAGTCAGTTGTGACGATTCATTTTTGATCCGGTAAAATCAGTGGTGTCGTCTGTGGAAAACTTGCTTCCCCGTCTTCTATTCACTCGAGACCAAAGCTAAATAATTCCCGACTGTCATGGCTGACTAGACTCCTGACAACATGAACGTCCGTGTCATCGACATTAATAATAATATCATCGATAACAATGCCGATCTCGATAACGTTGGTACCGCCGGCCACAACACAACACCCGACGTCAATATGCCCGAGCCTTTTGAATACAGAGACGGAGCAACTGCTTCGTCATCATCTCTGCCTCGCCGACATGAAGACGATCAGCCACCTCCCCAAAACTACCAACACGTCCAGTTTCACGAAGTCCCCGTCTCCGTCGGGGCAGACGCCACGATCAGGACACTGTTCGCGACAATTAATCAAACCAACTATCTAATCTTCGTTCAGGGAGAAAGACTGAGGGCACTCGAAGACGATCGGAGGCCCCCAAGAAGACACAGGAGACCTCAATCTCCTGCTCCTCGACAAACAGAGGAACGCCCACAATCTCCCCCGCGGAGACATAACAGGGACATCTCCCGAAGCCCGTCACCCTGACCACTCGGGCGACGACCCCCCTTGGAGAGGGGACAACTCGTTGATGCGGGAAGGCGTGATCACGACCCCTCGCTTCAAGAACGAAGACCCCCTGGAGACAGGAACGAGGGAAACCACCAACGGTCATACCGCCCGAGGACCGCTCCGCACGATCACGGCCACCGTGACCGCCACTACGTCAGATCTCTGTCTCGTTCGCTCGAACAGAGTGACGAGGATGACCCCCGCAGTCCCTTGTCACAAGCTATCATGGAGGCACCCATCCCCCCGGGCATGGAGAAGCCTCCCCACCTAAAGGAGTACGACGGCATCGTCGACCCTGTCGACCATATAGACGGGTTTGAAGCCACGCTACACTATCACAACGTCGGGGGGCCGATCAAATGCCGGTTGTTCCCCACGACTCTGAGAAAAGCTGCGATGGACTGGTACAAAGGTCTCGCCCCGGGGTCAATTACCTCTTGGAGAAATCTGAAGAACCAATTCATTATTTTTTCACTGCTTCGCAACGACACCCGAAGACCGAAGTAGCCCTCGAAGCCATCATCCAAAAAAATTATGAGACCTTGAGGGAGTTTATTGACCGGTTCAACCGGGAGGCCATCCAGGTCCCCTGCACGGACCACATGAAAAGATACCTGCTCGAGAGGGGACTCCTCCCGGGCACTGAATTCAGAAAGGCTGTAGGCATCAAACCACCCCGGACATTCGATGCCCTCCTCGAGAAGGCCAGAGCTTATATGGACTACGAGGAGAGAGAAGCGACCAACATAGCCCGAGATCCCAGAAATTGCGGATCTACCAGTAATCTGCGACAAGACACCTCCACTCCTCAACAAACTGGCGAGAAGAGAAAAGACGACAAACCCCGAGATGCTCGGGAACAAAGGGGTCCCTCGAGGAGGTTCACTGAATACACTCTTCTAACGGCTTCCTGTGAACGCATCTTAGTAGAGTGCGCAAATACAAACTTCAAGGACGGCGACGTCAAGCGTCTTCGCCTCACTCCTGCTAAACTCGGGGTAGACCGAAGCAAATACTGCCAGTATCATCGGAGCCACGGGCACTTGATCGAAGACTGCGTCCATCATAAGGACCCCATCGAGACCCTCATAAGGGGGAAAGACTCGCGCAATATTGGCGAGGCGACGCTCCTCGTCGAGATGCCTGTGAGACAAGGGAAGTAGAAGAGGATACCCGATCATCTGACGAGTTGGTTCCCATCCAAACCGCGTTCTCTGTCACGAGACCTGAGGACTTCTACGTCCCCGAACATCTGCAAGAGCCTCTGTCTACGCTCAGCAAGTGGGAAAACTTCCTCTCCGCCATGGCCATCAACGGTGGAGGGTTTAATGATTTGATCATAAATTCAGCAAAGAGAAAGCTGGACGAACTGGTCGACGCGGCTCCCTCGGAAACGGTGACCTTCGAAAGGGTGAAAGGCAGATCAGAGCCGATCACCTTTTACCTCGAGGAGCTTCCCGGAGGGGCTCCCAATTCAGCCATCCCTCTTCTGATAAGGGCAGGAATGGCCAACTTTGACGTCCATCGCGTCCTAGTCGGCGAGGGAAGTTTCGTCGACGTGATGTACAACCAGCTGTTCAGAACCCTGTAGCTGGATGACTCTCACCTTTCACCATACGTGGGATCAGACCTGCAGGGCTTTAATGGCTCGACCTCCAAGCCATAGGGGTACGTGGAGCTTATGGTCACATTCGACGAGGATACCGCTACCAGGAAGGTCAAGGTCCGCTTCCTCGTCATCGACTGTCCATCCCTCTACAACTACATCCTCAGGAGGTCGACATTGGCAGAGCTGACCGCGGTGCCCTCCACCGTCCACTTAAAGATGAAGTTTTACACCAAGAGGGCACGGGTCGCCACTATTCAAGGCGATCTAGCAGCTCCTCGAAGGTGTTTCAACGCGGTGTCCAACGAACACATCACAATCGACACTGGGACACAACCCTCCAAGAAAGATGCAACTCTGCGATCAAAGCCTCAATGGTCAGAGCCCGTCAGAGTAGAAGAACAGAGGGCCTTCCAAAAGTCGACTCGATCTCGTTGGACACTCGCTTCGACTAGGACGAGCCCTCCAGCGGCGAGCAGGTTCCCCTTCGACCAATTTCGAATGGGGACTTCGAGCTCGTCCCTCTCGGTGAAGACCCAAACAGAGGAGTGGAGATTGGCATTGGACTCCCCGACTTGGCAAGAAAGCAGATCAAGGCCTGCTTGAGGGAAAATACGGATCTGTTCGCATGGAGTGCTATAGAGATGCTCGGTTTTGACCCTGAGGTCGCCTGTCATCAACTCGCCATTGATCCATCGGCTAGGGCATTAGTACAACGTAGGCGTAGGCAGTCTCACGAGAAAGCGGAGGCTGCTGAAAAAGCTGTAAAAGACCTAGAGGTAAATTTTATTTCTGAAGCCCGGTATTCAACCTGGCTGTCAAATGTTGTACTTGTTAAGAAAAATAATGGAAAATGACGAATGTGCGTTGACTATACCGATCTTAATCGGGCATGCCCCAAAGATGCATTTCCTTTAACTAATATTGATATGCTGGTCGACAACTCGGCCGACTATAAAATTTTATCATTTATGGACGCCTATTTGGGCTACAACCAAATCCCAATGGCAATAGGAGACAAACACTGCACCGCTTTCATGACTAGCTCGGGCAACTATTACTACAACATAATGCCATTCGGTCTGAAAAACGCAGGAGCAACGTATAAGTCGATGATGAACAAAGTCTTCTGCAACTAAATCGGAGATATGCTCGAGGTATAGATGGACGACATAATCGTCAAGTCCCGAGTAGACAC